GGGGAGAGGAATTTCAGTTTTAGTTTCCCAGCACCAAGCAGCTTTAGTACAGAACAGTGGAGCTAAGCCACGCCCAGGCTCCTTGCTGTCTCCTTGCTCACACAGCAAATACTGTTTCACTTTCCAAACAGCCTTCAACTCTCTCACACACTGACAGGATGCTAGCTGATGGATTCTGGTAAGCAGAGGCACAATTCCCCCCCGCTTATTTTCCTCCCAAAAAACTAAGCCTGACCACATAGTTTCATACTGAAGCACAGGTATCAAGCTAGTGTTATATAAACAGACTTAATTTGGTAACAGAGTTGACTCGTTTTGGGGACTGACATTGAACAGCACCTCATAAAAACTAACCAGTCAGGCTGGATTCGTGCAACATGCTAAGCCAATCATTACATAACATACAGTCCTAGGTTAAAAATACTCATCCTTTGGCTCAGAGACAAGGAAAAATTGGGAACCTGTTGAAAACATTCCCAGAATAAAATATGTTCTACAAAAGTTTCCAGAATCAAAACTTTCCTCGGGCAACTTTGACACTTTCAGGATTGTAATGATTGATATTTAGGGGATTTTTTAAAAAAATTGAGAAAGTATAAGTGGATTTCTACTGCCTATGATTTTACTGTGTATAATCCAACATTGTTTCCAGTTATTTTTCCCTCCTCTCCACACAGCAGTTTTGGGCGTCTTTGTTTATACAGTTCAAACATCCGTTTGGTTAGGCATTGTGTTTATATTTCAAATAGAGGAACCCACATAAGATGGGTGTTCAGATGGATCGTACTTGTTTACAGGTAGTCCTCAATTTATGACCATAGTTGACCCCAGGATTTTGGTCATTAAGTGGCCATCATGTGATCAAACTTGATTTATAGCAGTAACTGGGAGAGGGATCTTGGAGTCTTAGTGGACAACCAGTTAAATATGAGCCAGCCGTGTGCAGCGGCAGCCAAAAAAGCCAATGCGATCCTAAGCTGCATTAACAGAGGGATACAATCAAGATCAAGTGGGGTACTAATACCACTCTATAAAGCCTTAGTAAGGCCACACCTAGAGTACTGCATCCAGTTTAGGACACCACACTATAAAAAAGATATTGAGATTCTAGAAAAAGTGCAGAGAAGAGCAACCAGGATGATGAGGGGACCGGAGGCTAAAACATACAGTGAATGGTTGCAGGAACTGGGCATGGCTAGTCTAGTGAAGAGGAAGGACCAGGGGAGACAGGATAGCAGTCTTCCAATATTTGAGGGGCTGCCACAGAGAGGAGGGCGTCAAGTTATTTCCCAAGTCACCTGAAGGCCAGACAAGGAATAATAATGGATGGAAACTGAACAAGGAGAGATTCAACCTGGAAATAAGGAGAATTTTTCTGACAGTGAGAGCAATCAACCAATGGAACAGAAGTTGCCTTTGGAAGTTGTGGGGCTTCATCACTGGAGGCTTTCAAGAAGAAATTGGACTGCCATTTGTCAGAAATGGTGTAGGGTCTCATGCTTGGGCGTGGAGGGGTTGGACTAGATGACCTACAAGGTCTCTTCCAACTCTGTTAATCTATAATCAGTGGAACAACTTGTCTCCAGAAGGTGTGGATGCTCCAACACTGGAAGTTTTTAAGAAGAGATTGGAAAACCACTTGTCTGAAGTGGTAGAGGATTTCCTGCCTAAGGAGGGGGTTTGACTAGAAGACCTCCAAGATCCCTTCCAACTCTTCTATTCTATTCTATTCTATTCTATTCTATTCTATTCTATTCTATTCTATTCTATTCTATTCTATTCTATTCATTCCTTACTCTATTCATTCCTTACTCTATTCCATTCTACTCTACTCTTATTTCCTATTCTATTTTGCTCAATTCTATCCTTAATTCATATTCTATTCTATTCTGTTCTATTTTTAGATGGCTTGTAAAACTTCCTGGTTTTTAAGCAGATTACATGTTGTTTCAGTGAATCCAGCTATCTAATGGGAATTTTCTCTCTTTTGCAAGCTTTCTCTTTGTGCTCTTTGTCTGAAACAAAATAAGCAAAGAAAGATTAAGCTTACGCATGATTAAACCTTCTGGATAAAAGAGTGTGAGCTAATTTTCTCGGAAGTCTTCCTCAAATGCTCTCCCTCCTAGCATCCCTTAGATAAGATCAAGCCATGGATAGTCCTTGCGATGCCTTTTTTTAGTTTCTTGGGCCTTGTGAAGACAACCGGGCTGTGAATGATCCTTCCTGGATGCTACTGTCTGGGTTGTCTTGTCAACACTTCCATAGTTGCAATATTCAATGTTCTGTCTCGCCTTTCTTCTTTCCAAAAAGATGAAAGAGTACAAACTCACACAAACACAGGCAGGCAAGCTGACTCGGACTTCACAGAGTTAATTCTTTATAACGGATAATGTCCCGGGCATTCCAACACGCTCTGCCTGCCAAGTCCGAAATGATAACAGATAAAAGCTACTCACTGAAACTTACAAGGCAGACCACGAAAAACATTCACGACGAAAAACCTGAAAGAAGAGTAAACTTTGCCCCGTACAAAGTTCCAGCCCACAACATACCCATTTTTATCCCCTGTGGGGTGTGGCTCAATAACTCAGCTCACTCTCTGACCCTCCCACGCCTTCTATGTTGCTGCTCACGTTTCACCCTATGACGCTGCCTAGGATCAAGCCAACATTTGTCCTCTTGACTCCCTGTCAGGGGCTGCTCCGATATGCCCTCCTCCTCCTGATTAATCTCAGGCTGTTCCTCTCGGTTGTCTGCTGAAACCTGAGGCATTATCAAGGAGGAAGGCATTGCCAGAGAGGAAGGTCCTGGGGAGGAAGGCATTCCCTGTTCCTCCTCATCATCTTCCGAGTCCTCTTCATCTAACAGCACAGGCTCGGGAATCGGAGCCACAACAATTCAATATGATCCAAACCCCCCAAAACAGGGGGATCTCTGATACAGGTAGCCCTTGACTTACAACAGATTGTTTAATGACTGTGTCAGCTTTGAAAGCCATATTGAAACCAGATGCTCTCACGCTGCCCCATTTGAGCCTGGGAGTGGGAGGGTGGAAGTTCTTTGGGCATATGTAGTTAGACAAAATAACATTATTTTTGTAGTTCGAGATCATGCTATTGTGTGCATATGTGAGGGGAAGTCTTCAGTTGGGACGGATGGTGATTGGGGCATGTGATATGATGATGGGTGCAGGGGATGGATTTGTAGCTTTGATTATTGCAAGGAAGCCCGGAATTTTCAGATTCGGGATTCCCCCAGTTGTGCCAATTACTATCCGAAATAAAAATAACTTTTGAGCGATGTCTGTCTCGGAGTTATTGGTTGGAGAGGAGGTTTGCTGGAACGCTGACATTCTGTTTGACATTTCAATGGCGCTGAAAAAAAGTGACATATGAGCGTTTTTCATACTGGTGATCGTCACAGCATCTCCATGGACAGGTGGTCAAAATTCAGGTGCTTGGCAATTGGCCCATAGTTATGATGGTTGCAGCATCCCAGGGTCATGTGGTAACTTTTTGCGATCCTCTGACAACTCAGAAGTCTGATTTACTCAACATAACTTAACAACTGCAGTGATTCACTTAACAGATATGGCCAGAAAGGTCATAAAATGGGCGGGGGGGAAACTGTCTTGCTGAGCAATGGAAATTTAGGGTTCAGTTGAAGTCATCAGGTGAGGACTACTGTAATGGTTTGGGACTTCATGTGCATGTATGAAATAGATGGAGTTGGGGATCACAACAGGAACACATGTTTGGATGAAACCATCTAATCCCATGGACCCAGTGGTGGTATTCTACTGGTTCGGCCTGGTTCAGCCGGTATTTCTTTCTTTTTTTCTTTCCTCCCGACAATCAGCTGTTCTGACAATCAGCTGTCCTGGGATCCCCCTCCCTGTCTTACTGATTCTCTCAGGAGGCTTCCCTGAGGCCCAGGAAGCAAAAAAAAAAAACGGAGCACGGGGGGGCAGGGGAGATGTTGCTGCAAAAAAGCCACACCCATGTGGTCACATGGCCACACCCACCAAGCCACACCCACAGAACAGGTAGTAAAAAAAATATTTGCATCCCACTCCTTCATGGACCCTTCTGCTCTGATCTTTTTACATTTGAATTGATTTTATTGATTTATTTACTTAATTTACTGCCTATGCTGCCCATCTGACTACCAAGCAACTCTGTCAAAGGTTTTAGAAAACCCACTTCTTTGTTTAGAGTTTTGTGCAAGTTGTACCCGTAAGATCTTTCACCAACGCCCGTAAGCCCGTGTAAATTTTGCAATGAGTTGGTTCTGCTTTTTTTTTTTTTTTTTTACACAGTCAGCTTCAGGAGGTGACAATCTTCAGTAAACAGGACAGGAGTGGGATTCTACCAGTTCGCACCTATTCGCTAGAACCGGTTGTTAACATTCTAAGCAGTTCGGAGAACCGGTTGTTAGAAGAAATTACTGGCCTAATCCTGTAAGGAAGGCAGGAAGGAAACATTCTGGTGTTGCTTACAGAAACTGCCTCTCCGTTAACCCTTATTACATTCTTGGCAGGACTAGACTTTCTGTCTCAGGAACTTCTCTGGAGTTTTTTTTCCCCCTCCTTTGCTGGTACTTTGTTTGTGTGGAGTGACCGTTCAAAGTTACAATGGCATTGAAAAAAGTGACTTATGATCATTTTTCACACTTAGGACTTTTGCAGCATCCCCACAGTCATGAGAGGCCAGGCGAGGAGATGCATGCCTCGATGTGAGTGATATTGAGTTGGCCACACCCAGCCATTAACATGACCACCAAGCCATGTCCACCCAGTCACGTGATCACCAAGCCACGCCCACTACCAAAGACATGCCCACAGAACCGGTTGTTAAAAATTTGAATCCTACCCCTGAAACAGGATGACCAAAACAAAAACAAAAAAGTTTTCTCCACAGCTCCAGAAGAAAAAGAAAAGAGCCAAATTCTGAAAGAAAGGAAGAAAGAGAAAGAGAGAGAGAGAGAGGAAAAGAGAGAGAGAAAGAGAAAGAGAAAGAAAGAAAAATAGATTGTAGTCTTTCAATTCTGTTTTGATGCTTTCCCAATGAACTTTTCAACTTTCTGGGGCTGCATTCCAATTTTGAAAAGCAAGTGCCTACATTTCCACTGTCCTGCAACACAACATGATTGTAAAACAGCCTGATTTTGACTAATATGGGATTATTTTGAGCTTAAAAAATACCTTTCATTGCCTTTTTTTGCTGTGGCAAATTAGGAAGATTTGCAGGCTGAACAACCAGTCACGGCTAGACCTTGTGCCTGTTTGTGGTTTTTGTTGCTGTGTCTTGAGTTTTAAGATCTTAATGTCACATAAATATTGCAGTTCCTGTTTTGCTATCTATGTCAACTTCTTATCAGCCTACTATTACCATATATTTGTACTTAGCTTACTATCACTTTTATATACATATTTTTTATTTGGGCTTTAATCATTTAGTTGCAAAATTGTGGATTTGCTGGTGAGTGTCCACAATAATTCGTTCGTTGCAAATTTAGTTCTCTTCTCTTCTCTTTCCTTTTCTGTAACAGTTTCACTTCTTTTTCAGTTATCCTGGACAGACATCCTAAAATGTCCAACCTGGTGCCTATCATTTCCCAGAAAGATCTCGAGAACATTTCCCTGAGTCAGACAGGCTTTGGCATCTCGCTGAAAGCCTTCCACGTGGCTTGGAACACGGATGTCTCCGTGAAGCTGTTGAGTAACCAAAGAGCAGGAGAAAGGTTGGTTTATTTATTTTATTATGATTCATTACACAGTCAGCCAGATAGATGTTCAGACTGAATCTGGCATTGTTGTCCACCTATCGAATCCCCCCCCCCCCCCAGGGGCTGGCATAGGCAAATGTTGATGTTTTAGGTATCAGAGTTATCATTGCAGGATGTAAGCTGTTTCAAGTAAGGCTGCCTTTTGCAATTGACTACGGGTGGATTTGTCAATGCCAATGATGTTCAAATATTGCTCCAGTTGTTTTGAGGTTGCACCCAAGGCACCTATGACTATTGGAATTACCTTTGCTTTCTCTTGCTACAGTCGTTCTATTTCTATTTGTAGGTCCTTATATTTTGTTATTTTCTCACAGTTCCTTTTCTTCTATTCTGCTTTCCGCAGCTACTGCCACATCCATTACCCAGACTTTTTTCCTCTTTCTTACTGACAATTGATAAGTCTGAGGTGTTAAGCGGCAGGTACCTGTCTGAATTCTAAAGTCCCAGTTCAGTTTTATATTACCGTATTTAATTTCTGGTCCCAGGAGTTTTTGCCTGCAGGCAAATGGTACTTCTTGCAGTGCAGGATTGTTGCTACATTATCATGCCGTTATTTGCAGTCAGTCTGTACAATCTTCTTGCAACAGCTAAACACTGTTTCTCCAGCTTCTTTGCAGAGGTGGCATTTGCTAAACTGTCTCCTCAATTCTGCATGCATTTGTTCTTAAGGGTCTTGTGCAGAATTAGCCCCTCTGTCTCTTTCTTCAACATACCTGCTCTTGTTCTGTCCTAGGCCTCCCCAAAAAGCACTAAGTAAATTCTGAGTCCCGGGAATAATCTCTTTTATTACATGAATGTGAATTTATTTCATTCACAGTCAGCCAACAGCTTGGCAAACAGTCTTGCAAAAGTAGACTCATGAGCTTAGACCTTTATCAATCTTGCAACGCTGCCTGGTAAAGAGTTCCACACTCACTGCTGACAGGGAAGGGCTGGGTATACAGACAAATCTCCAAGAGGCTAAAACAAACAAACGGCCAAATGAGCAAGTTGTTTCCTTCAAGAGCCCCCTCCCCTTTTGCTTCTCTTTTAATCCTGATGGGAGGGGCCATTCATCATCCACCTGTGGCCTTCCTCCTACGTCAACCCCGAGTTCTTAATTGCACCTTCCTATTGGCAGCTCTGCGCATGTGCAGGCTGGAAACTGGTTCCAGAAGCTCCCCCACCTCACTGTTGTCCAAGCCGAAAGGCAGCTGATGACTGCCAGCCTGCCCTGGCCCCATCTCTGCCTCTGACGCAGAGCCCTTGTCCGAGCCTTCCTCAGCCTCCAGTTTCCTCCCCAACTTCCTCACTACTGTCCGAATCTGTTGCCAGCTCTGCCAACCGCTGGGGGGTCACAACAGCTCTTAGCCATTGCCAGGTCTTGTTCTTATTTGTTTTCCCTGCTGTTTTTTTCTTTTAACATGCTGGCTGTGTGAGGCTTTGTCTTCCCATGGTTTATTTTATTTATTTATTTTATCATAATTCTCTGCCACCGATCACACGTGTGCTTCGGTGTGATTTCCTGACTGTTGAATGAGGAAGGCTCTCAAAGAGCACAAGCTGAGCTCACTTTAGAAAGTTTCTGGATATCCAACACCGCTCTGCTATTCTCTGAAACCACCTCTTTTTCACACTTCCTCAGAAGCAAGGGTGCTCGCAGTATGTGTGTGTATATAAAAGACATATTTGACCAGGAAGTGACTTTGATCATGAAGGAGCATGTACCAGGGTGCTGTCAGGCACAAAGAATCAGGACCATACATTAAGTTATCATTCAGAAGATTTATTGCTCATGCCCGATACACAAGAATCTAGTCAACCAAAGTTCAAATCTAAATTGGCATCGGATAAGGATTAATGGGATTCAAGAGGGGTTGGACTTGGGAACATTTGTGGCAACCTAACAACTCTAGGCTGATGACTCATTTAACTCCACCCCCTAGCTTTGCCTGTTCTTCTCTTACAGGTAACGCTCATTCATTGTGCTTTGGATGTACTGATTCCTGCTATTTTCCCAAACACAACTGCATAATTGGTGGTAGTCGGAAAGGCCATTCATGCTTTCCCCATGAAAAGTTTTTTTTAAGACAATTAAAAAAGAAAACTCAAGATGTTGACCACAATGTAATTGAAGCCTTGCCCCCTCTTTTGTGTGTGTTGTGTTGTGGCTACCATCTTGATTGGATAAAACCTCATGCAGACCTTCCTTCCAAGGAGCCTGAAGAAAAGTTACTATAGTTAGTTCTTGAAGGACCACTCGTTCAGTATCAGTTATGTTGGCACTGAACTGGGAGACTTACAACTGATGTGTTAGAGCATTTGCAGCATGACTACTATTATGAGACAACCCAGGAGCAAAACACAGCACACAGAGACTTAGACACTTAACAATGGTTTACGTACAAGACATATACAGAAATATACGTGGTAGGCAAAATACCTTACAAGCAATCTTTCTTCTTCTTAACTCTACACGGAGAGTTCTGCAATGAATATCGGACACAAGGAGAGAGAAACAAGGCTGCCTTATATAAACTTCTCTTAAAGTGGTAGAACCCATCCTCAGCCTTAAAGAGGCAGTACCAATGCTGTGCTGATTCGTCCTTATTGTATCAGCCTTATATTGCATCAGCTTCACTGTTGGTCTGCTCTTAACATGATGCACAAAATTGCAGCTGTCATGGTGTCCCTCCTGTCACAGCAGCTACAATCAAAGGAGAGAAAATGGAAGCACACACCGATAGATCGTTTTGCCGTAACAAATGATCGTTGTCTTGTTCTGTTGAAACAGTCTGACGTGCAGATCTTTTCCCCCTTGCAGAGACTTCAGGGCCCTGCTTCAAGAAGCAGCAAACACGCAACGTTTACAATGCAACCATCTCTTGCCGCTTTTGGGTATTTGCCAGTTCCAAGGTTTCATTGGGATTGCAACGACATGGATGCACAATGGTTCTCTCTCTTTGCTCATTCATGATGTAAGTTGGAGAAGCAAGAGAAAAATCCAGGGGCGGGCTTCAAAAATTGTAGCAAAGGGTTCTCTGCCCATTTGCTAGGTGGACATGGCCATGATGGGCATGGCCTAGTCGGTTTCCTGCACCACGGGGGTGGGGGGGCATTTTCACTCTCCCTGGGCTTTCCTTGAACCTCCGGGAGGGTGAAAACGGCCTCCCCAGGCTCCGGAGGCTCTTTGGAAGCCAGAAACGGGCCCATTTCTGGCCTTCCCGAACTTCTGGGAGGCCTGTTTTTCAACTCCCTGGGTCTCTGTGCGTGCCCTGCACTTACCTGCATCCAAAATGGGCCACGTGGGGATTCCTGGGAGGGCCGGGGTAAGGTGGGCGGGGATTTGGGGGGGGGTCTCCAAACTGCACAGAATCTTAGCTAGGGGTTCTCCCAAACCCCTGCAAACCCCCAGCAGCCCAGCCCTGGAAAAATCCCCTTGGCTGGCTCTCCTTTGGAGGGGTGCGATGGAATGTAGTAAGGAGTTGGGTTCGCAGGAGGGAGGGGCTGCATTCCAGAGGAGTAAGAGGCAGTTCAGTTCAGATAGTTTGTGTGAGAGAAAAGGGTGAAGACGGCTCCTCCCTAACAGTTCTCAGAGTATAGGGTTATTGCAGATAGCAGCATGCTTCCGTTTGGCAAGATTCTGTCTGCAAGGGTGGAATAATAAAGGCATCTACTCGGAAGAAACAACACATGTCTTTCTTGGTTTTGGGAGCCTGGCAATGAAGCAATGGCATGAAGAGAGTGAGGCTCAGATAAGGCACTGTTGCCCAGAAGAGAAGCTCTTGGAATAGAACAAGCAGAGATTCAGCATCTTAGCACAGCAGAATAGGACTTTAGGTTGTTCCTTCAAATGAACTACTACCCTTCTTAAAAACAAATGTTGGTTTATCATCTTAGCTTGGAAAGGCCACACCCAACCAGTATCTCACATGAAGCAACACATTCTGGGTTAATTTATCCATTTTCAACTAGCAGAAGGAGGAGCTCAGGATTTTCCTGCAAATCTCTAATACCTTTAATATGGAAATACAGCCTGCATGTTAAATCAGTGTTTTGAAAAACAGTGTGTTCAATAAACTTTCTCCCCCCTCAGCATGAACTCTATCCAGATCTGCCTTTTCCTTTGAGCATAAGGATCCTGTCAGATGTCGCCACCGGTCTAAGCTACCTTCACAGTTTGGAGCCTCCCATTCTTCACCACAATCTCAAACCTTCCAATGTCTTGTTAGATCTTGAATACAGAGCGAAGGTAGGCATTTCAAACATTTCCTCCCTTCTTTTTGACTGGGTGTCAGAACAAAACTTTAATTGCACCTGGGGACTCTTCCTGAACTATAGATAGTGCCAACAAATCCACCCCCATTCAAATCATAAGTCTCTAGCCGCGTCTCTCAGAGTAAAAAAAAAAATGATTTATTAGGAGTGACCATGCCGGTGTTACCTGGGTGCAGCCGACTCTAAGACACATCATTCATTTCCCCCTTGACCCTGGTCTTCCCCCCACTCCCCTGGATGTATATTCTCCAATCGGACACATCCATAGCCAAGAGTCATCAATCATGCTCTCCAGTAATATTGGGCTGCCAAGGCGATTATCTGAGGCATTTAAGGAATGTGCTGCTTTCCCCACTCCGTTTCTGCTGACGACAAAGGTGTTTTTTAAGTGAGTCATGCCTGACTTTGCAACCTTTGTTGCCCCAAATATTAAGTGAATCACTGCAGTTGTTAAATGAAACATTTGGCTGTTAAGCGAACAGGGCTTCCCCACTGACTTTGGGAAGGTCACAGATGGCAATCACATGACTCCAAGATATTATAACCATTGTAAATGCATGACAGATGCCAAGTGCCCAAATGTTGATCATGTGACTATGGGGATGCTATAACCGTCATACGTTTTAGGACTGGTCATAAGTTGCCTTTTTTCAGTGCTGTTATAACTTCAAGCAGTCAATAAGGAAATGGTTGTACGTTGAAAACTACCTGTAGTGAACACCTGCCTGGTTTCATAAGTTATCTTTCCATTTGGATATGGGAACTGGGTATGTCTAGTCTGATGAAAAGAAGGACTGGGGGAGACATGATGGCAATGTTCCGATATTTGAGGGGCTGCCAGTGGGCCAGGGAGCACTGATGGTCCATGAGAAACTTTTGGTGGTCCGCAGAGAAATGTCACCCCCAAAGCAATCAATCCAGGCTGCGCGGGAACACAAGGCTGTGCCGCCACATGACCCACAGGAACACAAGGCTTACGTCGCTTGCATTGTGAACAACACGAGGTAGTGAGGGGAGGAGAGAAAGAGAGGAGGGGGGAACTTGCCCTACTCGCCCCACATGCCTGGCCTGGCCACCGGGCTGCTTTTTTCCGTTTCTTTCTTCTTCTGCTTTTGGCTGCACACAAGGAAAGCAGCAAAAGTCTTTCTTTCTCTCCCCCAAACTCTGCCAGAAATGAGTCTTTGGGACCCTGCAAGGCATCCTGCTCCAAGAGGCTGCACCAGTGTAACAAATCTCACAAAGACTCATTTCTGGTGGAGTTTGAGGGAGAGAAAGAAAGACTTCTGCTGCTTCTGCTGCTTTCCTTGCATGAAGCCAAAAGTCTCTCTCTCTCTCTCTCTCTCTCTCTCCCCCTCCCTCCCTCCCTCCCTCCCTCCCTCTGAGAATGGAGCTGTTGGTATCCTGAGATCCCAAATAAAGAATGATCGATCGGTAGGAAAACGGGGTGGGGAATTTTCTTGCAGATTTGGGGGGGATTTTCCCAGGGTCTCTGGTCCTCGGGATTTAAAATTATGAGTTTGGTGGTCCCTGAGGTCCAAATGGTTGGTGACCCCTGGTCTAGAAGACCTCCAAGGTCTCTTCCAATTCTGTCATTCTATTCTGCTCCATTCCATTCCACCCCAATCCTAATCCCAATCTAATTTTGCAGATCTCAGATTTTGGCCAACCCGCCTGGAGAAAACAGCAGCTGAGGGCAGCTTTGCACAACTGTAACAACAGTAGTTGCTGGGATTTGCTCTGCCTGTCTCCTGAAATACTTCAAGGAGGTCAATTCTCACAAGAAGGAGATGTTTATAGGTGAGTCTTACTTTAAGAAAAGAATCTCAGGGCATTGTTTGTCAAGGTGAAGCAATAGTTCGACTGTATGGTAGGGTTAACTAATCTAGATATGGTGGATTGTCTGACCAGGAGCCCAACCAGGTTGCTTCTTTACTTTTCATAGTAAGCTTGTATTAGATTTCAAAACTGGAGAAAGAAGGAAGTCATACATTTTCCCTTAGCAATGGAGTAATGGGTATTTTGGGAGCTGATTCTTCCTCATCAAGAGGCTGTTACTGATTGCTTAGTTCCAACTGTGAGGAAAACTGGCTTTGGAGGTGCAGGAGCATATTAGCAGGATGAAACTACAAAAGGAATGTGTTATTAGTTGTGGAATAATGCAAGCAGGAGAGTTATTACTGTGTCTTAATTATGGCTTCTTCAGAAGCAACAGATTGGCCAAGAATTTAGTCTTTGGTGGGGGTCCCATTTCATTTTTTTCATGCATTGTGTACCCTTAGATTTTAATCAAAACAGATTTTGTTAAGTCCAAGAATACTCAGTTTCTATTACATTTAGAAACTGTAGCTAGAGTTTTTCCAAGTCAACTTTCCAATTTGTTTTTGTAAAACAAGGAATGAACAGCTAATATAAATTTGATTTATGTATGTATTTGTTTGTTTGTTTATTTGTCAAAAGCTTGCAATACAACAGAAACAAGAATAAACATAAGTTTAAATACAAGAAATAGGAACCAATAATTGGGGACAATAGGACAGGGACGGTAGGCACGATGGTGTGCTTATGCACGCCCCTTACAGACCTCTTAGGAATGGGGTGAGGTCAATAGTGGTTAGTTTGAGGGTAAAGGAGGGGGAGTTGGAGCAGGTGACAACAGAATCAGGTAGTGAGTTCCAGACGTTGTCCACTCTGTTGCTGAAATTGTACTTCCTGCAATCGAGTTTGGAGTGGTTTGCATTTAGTTTATATCTGTTGTGTGCTCTTGTGTTGTTGTGGTTAAAGCTGAAATATTGTAATATCCAGAAGAAGAATATTGCCTTTACTCAAAGAATACATCATCCTAGGTGTGGAAACGGTACGGTTGCTGTGATCAGTTAAGCATACAAGAAATGATCCCATCATTGTAGAATCAAATGCAAGGCCTCCAAAACCCACCAATAATCACTGCAGTTACTATTTATTCAGTGTGCTCTGGAGGAATTTCCATCCGGAAAATAATAACAGAATGATATTGTTGGTAAAGACCTTGGAGGTCTTCTAATCCAAACACTGCTCAAGCAGGAGACCCATGCAATTTGAGACAAATGGCTGTCCAGTCTTTTCTTAAAAGCCTCCAGTGTTGGAGCACCCACAACTTCTGAAGGCAAGCCGTTCGACTGGTTGTTGTCACTCTTCGGAAAGTTTTCCTTACTTCTAGGTTGTTTCTCTCGATTAGTCTCCATTACTTCTTGTCCTGCTTTGAAGAATAGGTTGATCCCCTCTTCTTCATGGCAGCCCCTCAAATATTGGAACACTGCTACCATGTCACTCCTGATTCTTTGTTTCACTAGACTAGACAGACCCAATCCCTGCAACCGTTCTTTACATGGTTTAGTCTCCAACCCCCTAATCAACTTTGTTGCTCTTCTCTGCACTCTTTCCAGAGTCCCTGACATCTTTTTTTTTATAATGTGTTGACCAAAACTGCACGTAGTCTTCTAAGTATGGTCTTACTAAGGCTTTTCCAAGCGGTACTAATACTTCACACGATCTTGATAAGAGGGATAATAATATTCCTTCAGACAAAAGGATACACTCATATTGATCAATAAAGGAGAATATTTGTAGCTCAGGGTTGAAATGAGGGGCCTTTGGTGCTCTTGGAGGTCAAGAGGTGTTAAGGAGTCATTTGAATTCCAACGTAACAGGTGCATCGGGCTGGGGAAACTGTCTAGATAAGAGATGTTACCAAATAACACCTGGTTTTCCTTTTCATTGTTTGTGTCTAGTTTTGGCATGATGTGTTGGGAACTCCTAAGTCGACAAAAGCCACTGACAGGTAAGCAGTCTAATAAAATGCTCAACCTAAAGTAATCTTCCTTTGAGTGGGTCCTTTCCTGCAGGTAACCTGACTGGAATCTCACCTTCTCTTGCTGTTGTATAATGGAAAATACTGTCCAGGTTAGGCCTTGACTCATGACCAATCACTTAGTAATCATCTGAAGTTACAGGTTTCCTGAAAAGGGGGACCTACCACTTGGATCTGAAATTCCAATGATCACGCATCCTCCGTGGAATATGGAAATTGAAAAAAACTATTATCAGTGGTTGCAATTTGGACCAGTTCTGTGAAGAATTGCTATAAAAAAAAATTAGAAGAAAGAAAAAAAAGTCTGATTTTTGGATTAATGCTGCCCCCTTGTGTTTTTTTTCTTTCATGTTGTGTGTGTATATATAAGGCAGGCAGCCATGGGAATTCTGGGGGTTGAAGTCCACAGGTCTTAAACTTCCCATGGTTGGGCATCACTGGTATAGGCTGCTAATAGCAGGGTTCTTCTGTACATAACTTTTATTTCCCCCTTCTTATAGGAAAAAAGACTTTGCTTCGAGCTATAACTGGGATCTGCAACGGTTTACGCCCAGGGATCGAAGCAGCATTCATACCAAATGTACCTCATCGGAACAGGATGGTTCGGCTGATGCTTCTCTGCTGGCACCAAGAACCTCACTTCAGACCTGGTGCCGCAGGTAATATTCTTCTCAACTGCTGAAAAAGTTGAGTTGGCTTTTTTACACCTGATTTAGAAGTGGGGATTCCCTGCTCCTAAAAACAGTGGTGATTGGCTGGGGGAATACTGGGAGTTGAAGTCCATCCGTCTTAAAGTAGGCAAGTTTGAGAGACACTGCTCTAGAGCAAGGGTCTTCAAGTTTAAGACTTGTGGACTTCAACTTCCAGAATTCCTGAGCTTACATGACTGGAGGAGGAATTCTAGGAGTTAAAGTCCACAAGTCTTAAAGTTGCCACATTTGGAGACCTCTGCTCTAGAGAAATGCTATGTTATTCTGAGGTATCTCTGTGAAAGTCTTGCTGGCTGCAATAACGCATGGAAATAGCCACACTCAAGCAAAGATTGCATGGAAATGACTGGCGGAGGGAAGCTTTGTAAATGTGAACATGATTAGGGGACTGGAGGCTAAAACATATAAAGAACCATTGCTGGTATTGGGTAGGTCTAGTTTGATGAAAAGAAGGACTAAGGGAGACATGAGAGCAGTGTCCCAATATCTCAGGGGCTTCCCCAAAGAAGAGGGAATCAAGCTATTCTCCAAAGCACCTGAGGGCAGGACAAGAAGCAATGGGTGGAAACTAACGAAGGAGAGAAGCAACTTAGAACTAAGGAGAAATTTCCTGACAGTGAGAACCATTAACCAGTGGAACAACTTGCCTCCAGAAGTTGTAAATGCTCCAACACTGGAAGTTTGTAAGAAGAGATTGGATAACCATTTGTCTGAAATGCTACAGGGTTTCCTGCCTAAGCAGGGGGTTGGACTAGAAGACCTCCAAGGTCCCTTCCAACTCTGTCATTCTATTCTGTTCTATTCTAGTCTAGTCCAGTCCATTCCATTCCACTCCACTCACAAATGAGTTGTTACTGTGTTTTTCTGTTGACAGAATGTGCGGCATTTCTAAAGGATATCCTCAGTACCTTTCCAAAGGAGGTGATTTCTGATGGAATTTACAACTTGATTCATGCCAAGGTGAGCCAAAAGAGGGTTTGGGATCCCCCATTGTTTGGCTGTAGATCATTTCTTTTCAAAAACCACCATTTTAAAAAGGCGTGGTGACAAAATCCTCTAATTGTGATTAGGATAATCATGATCTCACCTGTTGTGCTTGATATACTGTACATCATATGATACCCTCTGCTATAGCAAGGTTGGCATTTTCCCTGCCCTTCTTCAGCATGAGAAATTAAACTGAGCTCTTTTTAAAAGTACAGATAGTCCTCAACTTACGAACAGAATGAAGCCCTAAATTTCTAGTGCTAAGTGATGAAATTGAAGAGAAGAGGTTTTCTCAGAAGCAGAAATCTAAGAAAAGGGTTTCATGGCTTCCTTTGTATCTTTCAGGAATGTGCAATTAATGCTGCCAAAGGTCCAGTTTCTCACATGCTTGAAACAGGGATGCGCAATTTAGAGGTGAGTAGAAGACGGTTTAGGAATCTTGCATTAAATTTAGCTATTATCCTTTATGTGCCAAAAGGTGCTTTTTCAGGAGGCAACTGGACTTTTCTTGTTTTTTCCTTTTGAAGACGTTTCGCTTCTCGTCCAAGTAGCTTCTTCAGCTCTGACTGGATGGTGGGGAATGGAAGGATTTATATTCCTTGTAGACCGCTGGTCATTTGCGTCCTTTTAGAGGGTGGTTGAGGCCACTTGGAAGGTTTATCTGTGTCCTCAGGGCCACCTGAGTTAGTGCTCCTGGTTCCTTTGGGACAACCATGACCTGGATGACTGAGAATCTCTATAGACTTTTAGCTATACAATTTGGGATGAGCACTCTTGGAGTGGTGTGGGAGTAGGAATGGATTTCCAGAGGGGAAAAAATTGCAGACTACAGGAACCATTAACACTATTCAAGTGATTCTGAGGACATAGATAAACCTCCAAGTGGCCTCAATTACTCTCCAAAAGGATGCAAATCACCAGCTATCTGCAAGGAGTATAAATCCTCCCATTCCCCACCATCCAGTCAGAGCTGAAGAAGCTTCTTGGATGAGAAGCGAAACATCTTCAAATGGAAAAACCAAGGAAGTCCAGTTGCCTCCTGAAAAAAGCACCTTTGAGACAACCATGATCTGCATGACGGAGAATCTCTCCAATGTCCTTTATATTTGATTACAGATAATCCTCTACATACAGCCACAACTGAGCGCCCAATTTCGGTCATAAGTCATGATGCTCATAAAGCAAGTTGCCTCATGACCACACCTAAGTTTACGACCTTTTCTGCAGCTGTCGTTCAATGCTCATTAAGCAGACTTTGCTATGGGGAGATTTTTGCTGAATACCAGAAGTAAACCCCAGTTTCTGGCAAAACGGTCATAAATTGTGGTGACCTGACGACAGGATTCCCTAACAATTGTAAATGTGGGCTAGTTTCCAAGCACCTAAAATTCAATCACGCAACCCCCGAAGGGGATTGGAATGTCAAAATTTTGAATTTGGGCCACAAGTCCCTTTTTTCAGGGTTTGTTTTAACTTTGAGAAGTCAATAAGCAGCCGGTCGTAAGTCAAGGACTACCTACAGCAGGGGCATCTTCAAGATGAATCAGAAATCAAGATGGTGCCTATGATTGCATACATGAATTGAGTTTGGGCGAATACCAATACTTTTCCAATGAGAGAGAATCTTTTTCCTTTATCTGTGATAGTAAAATCGTATATGATGCCAATCCAATCCCAAATATTGGTACAAATATACCCACAATTCTGGGGATTAAATATTCTGGAAAATACCAAAATGTTTATCTTTTTTTTTTTTGGTGTAGAACATGGCAATGTGGATATTTTCACCGTAGCCAGGAGTTTGCTAGGAAGTGGTTCATAGTGTACAGGTAATCCTTGACTTACAATCATTCGTTTAGTGAGTGTTCAGAGTTACAAAAAGCACTGAAAAAAAGTGACTTAGGACCATTTTTCACACTTATAACCATTGTGGCCTTTCCATGGTCCTGTGATCAAAATTCAGATGCCTAGTAACTGACTCATATTTATGACGGTTGAAATGTGTTAGGCTTGTGTGATCACTTTCTGAGGGCAAAATCAACCCTGTTACTAACTTAACACCTGCAGTGATTCACTTAACAGTTGTGGCAAGAAAGGTCATAAAATGGGGCAAAATTTTTACTTAACCACCGTGTTATTTTGCAACCAAAATGTTGGTCTCAACTGGGTTGGTAAGTTAAGAACTACCTGTTATCAGGTTTTGTTTAATCTTCTCATTAGAATTCATACAACTTTCTAAAGATGCGCAGCTCTAAGAAAGAGAAACGTTTGGTTAATATTGTTTTTGCAAATGATGTCCTTTCTCGTTGCTTGCTTTAGATCATCTGTCCTCAGAATAACAATGTGCCCAACAAGGAAGTTGTGTTAAAACCGCAGAGCTTATCACATGAAACAGGAAATCCAGGGAATAAATTGAACCAGACACTCCTTGTCAGCAATACACCTCAAGACGCAGCCTTAGGAAGAGGTAAATGTTTGTGTTAGCTCTTAAATCAGTTGAAATGAAAGGTGTTGATTCTAAAGAAGGGTGTGCAGTGAGATTGGGGAGGAAATGTCAGAGGCATGTGCAGTCCTAATTCAGCAAGATGTTGGCAATTATATGGAGAAACCATGATTTATGAATATGGGTGTGTATTTGTGTGGATTCTCCTTGTGGAATGCAATTTCTCCTTGAGAAATGCAACCAGGCAGAACGTCATGATTGATTGTGTTGGAAAATGGAAAATAAATCATTATCGAATACCAATATTGCACCTGAAATAGTGTTAACTGTGAACAAACTGTTAAGTGTGGAACAGAAATTAAAATAGAAGATTATCTAAAAACATTAAAATTAACAGAGTATGAAGGAAAAGCAAGCACTGTCGTTAAGGCATTTGGCTAACGGGTTTTGCAAACCATATGAGTGGTTTTAAAGAACATGCAATCCAACCGCAATGATTAGGCCATGTCTATCCTGGTTTACTTGGTCATCAAAGAATTGTGTTCAAAATGTCATTGGCAGAAGCCCAACAGAAGATATCTATTCTACGCTCTCCCAGTAAACCTATAAACAGACCCTTTTTTAATTTAAGACATGGAGACGATGTCCCAAAGGTGTTTTTTTCCAAAAAGACAATTGGACTTTCTTGGTGGTGATTCATCTTTGTTGATTCTACATGCACGTATGAATCCAAGCTTCTTGGATGAGAAGTGAAATGTTTCCAAAGGAAAAACCAAGAAAGTCCTGTTGACTTTTGGAAAAAGCACCTCTGGGACAACCATGACCTGGATATTTGAGACTCTCCATTGAGACTTAGAGCCAGTCTCATACCCAGAAATCAAGATCCCCAAAAATATATTGTTTCCCTTTAGCCAAAGAGTGATCATGATCTACAACAGGGGTCTCCAAACTTGGCTACTTCAAGACTTGTGGATTTCAACTCCCAGAATAGCTTAGCAGGCCATGGTCACTGGGGAATAGTGGGAGTTGAAGTTCACAAGTCTTAAAGTTGCCAGGTTTGGAGACCCTTAATCTACAGTACAACATCCTTCCTTTGGGTGTTCAAATAGTTAATGTTCTTCTTTAGTTGGCTCTGTTGCTGATTGTTGAACTCGAGTGAGTTCATCCAGACTCTCTGGGCAGAGCAATAGGTGAAGAGTTGAGACTAGTCTGCCTGTCCTATAAGTTATTTTTCTAACAAGATTGTCACATGTCAGCAGGATGTAAAACAAGTCTGAACAAACAACGCTGGGGTTTGAAGGTCACCCTAGAGTTACTTCCCATCTGATTTCTCCTCCAATCTGTTTTTAAGATTAGATCAGGAACACCTCATTTTGTGTGTGTGTGTGTAGGTGTAAAAAAAGCACACTTAGGAAATCTCCCCAATGCTTGTTAAAACCTCTTTGGTGATTCCATATGCATGTATGGATTGGACAACTGCTTCCAAGACATTAGAAAATCTGATGAAAAAAAAATCCAAAGAAAACCTTAAGCTGAAGATCAGAGTATTTTTCTAATATTACATAAAGGGGAGGAACAGATTAGAGAATTAACTTGTGCGTGTAGATGGAGTTTTCTGAAACAGAACAGAAAAGGAAAAAAATGTAATAGAAAAAGGAAAAACAATAAAGATATGGGGGCTTCGCTTGCATGAATATACATATATACAGTTTTATATGTCACTAAAGAATGACCATATTTCATTATAATCATCTGTTCATAATTCTCATTTGTAAACACATTCAAGGATTGGAAGCAATAGTTTGAAACATTGTTTACAAACATCTTCCCTACGACTGATTTTGGAGTTCATACAGATCTTATATCAAACCTTCTCCCATAAAGGGAGGAGAAAGGAGAGCGAGCTAGAGTGGAAGGTCAATTGGTTGGGCCTTGATTCAATAAACTTGGACAACAGTTGTCCAGAATGACGTAGACTTCTTGACTAGGGGTTGGGACTAGAGCACCTCTAGGACCTCCACCTTCCAACTCTATTATTCTGTTATTGTGCATTCAACAGACCAAGTTTCATGCTCATTTAAGTGTCCATTAACTGTGTCCATGGATATGATATCAATTCTTCAATTGATGTAAACATCACCCTACCGATTATGCAAATTGGTTCAAGTGATGTCAGTTGTGCAATGACATCATCATGCTTAGAGTATAAAGTGCCCCAATTGTGTTCTTTTGCATTTAATGGACTTTTGTGAACAATGGACACCCCTCGCTTCCAGTTAAAATGAGGTTTCCAATACCCAGCCTGTTCTCTGCAGGAGAACAGGGGACATTGATATAATCTTGTATATTCTTTTTGTCTTCTTTTTTGCAAAGATGCAACTTTGTTCATCCAGCTTTCCCCCTTCAGGGCTTGAATGGTAGGTAAAAGTTCAGGAGTTAGGCGGAGAGGTTTCCTGCAGTATGCAAATAGATTGCCTGCCAGCTTTGTTTGAGCATTTCCAGTTGAACATCATGTTTTGAGTGGTTTCTTCTGTCCAGCCAGTGAGGCTAACAGATAGCAGATAATCAGAGTTGGAAGGGACCTTGTAGGTCATCTAGTCCAACCCCCCGCCCAAGCAGGAGACCCTACGCCATTTCTGACAAATGGCAGTCCAATCTCTTCCCGAAAGTCTCAAGTGAGGCTGGAAGGAAGTTGGCTCAGGTGCTGAAGAGAAAGAGTGGAATATACTGGGAGTGGGCAACTTTATGATCTGTGGACTTCAATTCCCAGAATTCCTGAGCCACCATGGAATTCTGGGAGTTGAAGTCTGCAGGTCATAAAGTTGACATAGGTGCCTACCCCTGGAATAATGAATGAATCAATGAATGAATCAATGAATGAATCAATGAACAATTTTAATCTAGTTGTGGATTAATATTATATGGATTTTTTAAAGTTTTAGATTTAGTTGGAGAACTTTAGCACTATTATTATAATTCATTACAAATTCATCAGTTCTGCCAAGGGTTGAGACAAAAATCAGGTGCCCAGGCAATTTTGGATCTAGAAACAATGAGTATACCACTGAAGAAAGAGACTTTAGCTTTGTTATTAACTCAAGCAAACAGATTTTTATCAAAATCTGGCATCATAATCTCATGGTCTTATGATAGCCAGGAGACTGCAAGATCTGACCTTCACTGGGTAGCACATGATTCTGGGATGGGAATCAAAAGTCTGAGACTTTCACATTGAGAAAAGCTTTGAAGCTATGTCAAGATTCCTCCTCTTCTCCTTTATTCAGTAAATGAATTTTATCTGTACTTTATCACTATTCCTTCATCCCTTTCTTGATTTTTATTTTCACAATTGTTGTGATTGTGATGTAATCTTTTAGTTATACTATGAGTGTTTTAACTTTTCTGTTACAAATTGTGGAAGCCACCAAGAGTATTTTTAATTGATTTTCTATTAAATACATTTCTTAGTGCTTAATAAACTTCATGTTGTCTGGGTATTTAATTTGCTTAACAATACAAATTTACATTCTTAATCTCCACCCCTTTTTTCCAACCATTGGTAAAATAAATTCCGTGTTTGATAATATTCTATGTTCTCCTTCTGCTTAATTTTCAATATCAATCTATCCATTTCTGCACAATCTAGTATCTTCCTAACTATCTCTTCATCTCACTGTGTACCTTCATTTTTCCAGTATTATGCAAATATAATCCTTGCTGCTGTTAAGACATGTAACATTAAGTACATACTTTTCTGATCAATTTTTTTCTGATATTATACCTAATAAGAACAATTCAGGTTTAAAATCTACCTGTTTCCCTATCATCTTTTCTAGCTACCTACATCAAGAATCTTTGATTGGTTGTAAATCTGAAAAACAAACGAACTCAATGCAATGTATTCTTTATTTGGTATGAACCGAACTAAATGCATGTTCTACCATTTTTGACGTGACCAATAAAACCATTCATGTGTCCCTCTCAACACTTTCATTGTTGTTTGGCATTCTTTCTTGCAGATCCATCTACAGCTGCCAGCAATGGATCAAGTCCTCCATCCATTCCACCCCATTCAAAGACAAGCAACAATAAAACTAGGTCTTTCGGCAATGAGTCCAAAGGTCACCAGCCTCCATTTCCGCAAACAGTGGGAGAACCAGCTTCTCTCAAAAACTGTCCAAACAGTTGGCCCAACAGCACATTAATAGGTGAGAACTGAAATTAAACCAGGGTTGTGGGTACAGTGCATTCCACTTTAATTCATTCATTAAGAGAAACACTGGCAGCATAATATTCATTGTATTGTGCTTGCTTTCCACTGTGCTCAATCGTAATAGCTGTGACTTAACATATTGCACAACCTCAATGTGATTTATAAATCATAGTTTATAGCTCAACAGGTGTAAAGCCAGGAAGGTGTGATTTATTCAACAAACTTTTGATAAAAGCATGGCTTAGAATCCCATTTCAAAGAGCTGTGTTCATACACTGTAGGAGGCAAGACCCAAAGGAGCTTTTCCAAAACTGGACTTTCTTGATTTTTTTCCTTAAAAAGGTTTTGCTTCTCATCCAAGAAGCTCCTTCAGTTCAGTTTAGAACCGAGGAAGCTTCTTGAATGAGAAGCAAAATGTTTTGGAAAAGCACCAAAAACATTGTTTGGGACAACCATGGCATGGATGACTGAGAATCTCCATGGACACAGGTTGTTTGCTTTTATGTGAAAAGATGTGGTTAAAATATTATCATTATCTCTTTATTTTAGGAGGGTCTTTCAGTGATGAACTGTCCAGGGAAGAGATCGTCCTTTCTAGTTGCAAATTCCAATTTGCAAATGGTTTATGAAGGAAACAGGAAATAGCATTAGCAATAGCACTTAGACTTATATACCATTTCACAGGACTTTACAGCCCTCTCTAAGCGGTTTTACAGAGTCAGCCTCAACAATTTTAATTTACCCACCTCAGAAGAATGGAAGGCTGAGTCAACCTTGAGCCAGTGAGAATTGAACTCCTGGCAGTGGGCAGAGTTAGCCTGCAATATTGCATTGTAACCATTGTGCATCATGGATGGATGGATGGAAGGAAGGAACGAAGGAAGAAATGAAGGAACGGAGGGCAATAGCTATAGAAATTAGAGTTATATACCACTTCACAGTGTCTTACAGCCCTCTCTAATCCAATTAGAGAGTCAGCATATTGTCTCCAACAATCTGGAAGGCTGAGTCAACCTTGAGCCAGTGAGAATCGAACTCCTGGCAGTGGGTAAACTTAGTTTGCAATACTGCATTCTAGCCACTATGCATCATGGATGTGGAGGGAGGGAGGGAGGAAGGAAGGAAGGAAGGAATAGCAATTAGAAATATACCACTTCATAGTGTCTTATAGACTGTCTAAGCGTTGTACAGAGTCAGTATATTGTCTCCAACAATCTGGAAGGATGGAAAGCTGAGTCAACCTTGAGCCGGTAAGAATTAAACTGCCGAACTGCTGGCAGCCGGCAGTCAGCAGAAGTAGCCTGCAGTACTGCATTCTAACCACTGCGCCACCACAGCTCAGACATCAGAAATGCCTGGTGCTTGCATTCTCACAATCTTTGCTCCATTGCCTTTCAGGTCCTACCTGCAAAGAAAAAAACTGTTCCATCCTCACCTTGGAGCGAGAAACCATCTTAAGTTCAATGACCGATGGGCGTTTGAACCATCTCCTGGACGTCTTACGTGCCCAGCAGCTCTTACCCAAGGCAGATTACGAAATGATCACGTCCTACCCAACTTTGACACTCCGGACCCGTGCTTTGATTGACACTTGTCTGAGTTTGGGGGAACAGGCTGCTGAGACAGTGGTGACTGTATTATCCAGCAGTAAAGGCAGCCGTTTGCTGAGAAGGCTCCGGACAAACCCAGTGAATTAAACCTAAATCTCAATTCGGTTTACACCGTGGCCAAGGGATGCCTCGTGTTACTTTTCAGAAATGCTCATCCTCTTAAATAAATAAGTCAATAAATGCCTGGATTGGATGAAAAAGAACGGGCTGCCCACTACCTGAAGGAAAAGCATCAAGGTTTGCTGATTTTGGCATGATATCAACCTGAGTAGACTCTCAAACTTTCTTGTTTTTCCTCAAAAGCAGCAGAGCACAAGCTTTTTATTTTCGCGTTGTGCCAAAGCGGCTTGTGGAGCTGTGGGAAATTAAAAAGTCACTTAAGGACAGGGCTTTCCCAGTAAACCTCTGGGAGTAAAAGTGATGTTGCTAATGGCTTCAAGCAAGAAGTAAGGCAGTTGGTCCATCTCCTGGAGCAAATTATACCTTTGGTTCTCCACACCTGAAATCGAGGTGACACAAAGGCAATTCAGAATTCAGGTTTTTCTCAGCTGAGGAATGGGGAACTACAACTGGGATTATTTGTCAGCAATGGATCAGAGAATAATGGTAAACTCTGAAATTCAGCAGGTTTGGTGCTAGGAAATCTGCAAGTTATATCAGATGAATTAAAGATGTGTGGGTTAATTTTCAGGAAATGTAAACGTGCACATGTAAATCTGGTGCTTAAAGATGTGTGGGTTAATTTTCAGGAAATGTAAACGTGCACATGTAAATCTGGTGCTTGCCTTTCATTTCAAAAACCATACTGTTAAAAGAAATAAACTTTGCGTTCGTGCATTTTATTCAGCCAACTTTCTTTAACTGTGTTTTTTTTCTGAATAAACTACAATAAACTATGTCTGTTTAGATTTACATTTAGACTATGTTTGCCAAAAATCCTAAACTATAGCTCAATGCTACTGAGCCAATCCAAATTAACTGCATTGTGCCCTAATGTGTTGCGTTTTAATTCAATTTATGGTTTATTAATTAAATGACTATTTCAAATATAATGTGTTGTGTGAACCAGGTCCAATAAGTGGATCCAAACTAGGTTAATTGCATTGAAGTTCTTTTATAACCCCAAGGAAAATAAGAAGGGGACTGATCCAAATATGTTTACCTATGGTCAAAGCTAGCTTGGTATCTAATTATTTGGAACAAATCGTTTTAGATTAATTTCTTTCATTTAACTTTATTAGCAGACTGTGGGAATGGTATGGACATAATAGATCTTGGCCTCAGGAAAGCACCAAAGAACTTCAAAATTGATCGATAAGAATATTAAGTATGGATGGCTCGTTTATGAAGATCCTCAAATGATTCAGAAATCTTGTTTAGAAATTGTTCATTAATATGCATTAGTAAACAAAGCCCTCCATTGTTGGAGGTTTTCCAGAAAGACTGGACAAATATTTGTGATTCTCTACTAATGGTCAAGGCAAATTGGCACCAGATAAGAGTCAATGGACTTCAAAGGGGGCTGAACTTAGGTCTCTTGTGGGAATGTAGTGACTTCAAACTGATGACACATTTGACTCTGCCTTCAGGCACAGCCTGGTCCTCTCCTACAAGAACATCATCATTACCACCATGCTGAGATCCTGGAAGAAAGAAGGATACGGATTCAGGGGTGGGATTCAATTTTTTTTAATAACCAGTTCTGTGGGTGTGGCTTAGTTGGTGGGCGTGGCTTGGTGTAATCTGACTGGCTGGGCATGGCCAACTCAACATCACTCACATCAAGGCACGCATCTCCTTGCCTGGCCTCTCGTGACTGTGGGGATGCTGCAATAGTCGTAAGTGTGAAAAATGGTTAGAAGCCACTTTTTTCAGTGCCATTGTAACTGAATGGTCACTCCACACAAGCAAAGTACCAGCAAAGGAGGGGGGAAAAAACTCCAGAGAAGTTCCAGAGACAGGAAGTCTAGTCCTGCCAAGAATGTAATAAGGGTTAATGGAGAGGCAGGTTCTGTAAGCAACACCAGAATGTTTCCTTCCTGCCTTCCTTACAGGATTAGGCCAATAATTTCTTCTAACAACCGGTTCTCTGAACTGCTTAAAATGTTAACAACCGGTTCTAGCGAATAGGTGCAAACCGGTAGAATCCCACCCCGGGTGGATTTAACAAGTGAGTAAATCATGGATAAATGTCAAAAACATTGAGAAGAATGATGAGCCGAAGAGGGTGAGCATCTCACAGGATATAGAACTGTAATGCTTTACCTCATAAAGTATTAAACTGAGAAAAATAAAGTTCCAACCATTTGTAGAAGGAATTATGGAAATCATTCCCTTTCAAAGTCTTTTTTTAAATAATAATTTTCATTACAGTTTAAAACTACAAAGGTTAAAAACCCTAATAAAAATGTTTTAAAAACTAAAAATACAGAGGAAAGAAAGGAGAAGAGAAAAATATAATGAAAAAAGAAATATAAAGAAATGGCTTCCTCCTTCATCAAGACAAATACAATTTCAGTTTCACTGCCTGTTGACATTTCTGTCAAAAATCTCTTCATCCCATGTCTTTAAGCAACTGGCAAATAATAAAGTGCTTTTAAAGCCTTTTAATGGCTGAGTCATGCCAATATTATTAGTTTCTAAATATTATTAGTTTCTAAATATTATTAGTTTCTAAATATTATTAGTTTCTAAATTATGTTTATTTTTTTATAAATGAAGGCTGCCTGGTGCAGTTCATTACAGAATTGCTTTGTATTAATGAGTGCTATCAATGGCTGTGGTTTTGCATTTATTTCTCTTTCATTAGTAGGATTCATGTATTTAACTTTTCTTTTTCTTTTTGCAACCGTCATCCCTTAATTCGGGTCAGAGTTGGGGTGACTGAATGGAGCTGAGCATTTACTGGCCTGATGCCCTTCCTGATTCCTAGGCTGAGTTTGCAGTAAATATTTTCTTTCTGCTCCCTGAGAGAGAAACAACTGCCGCCGCCTAGGGTCAAATTCTCAATTTCCCGAATGGGAGGCAAGCAACTTCACCATGAGCATGCTGCTCATTATTCACGTATTTAACAATGAAAATATCAAACTCCAGCAGTCTCTGTCTCTGTGTGTGTGTGTGTGTGTGTGTGTGTGTGTGTCCCTCCCTCTCCCCCTCCCACCCATCCCTCTCCCTCCCACCCGCCTCTCTCTCTCCCTCCCTCTCTTTGTCTCTCTTCCTCTCTCCCTTCCACTCCCTCTCCCTCCCTCCCTGGCAGGGGAAAATCATGTTTACATAAACAGAGCATCCAAGTTGGTTAAATAGTGTTTCTAAAATAGCTGTGCCACATCTGGTGCCCTCCAGATGTGGAATTTCCGATTCCCACCTTTCTGCCTGTAGAGAGAACTGAACTCTGCAAAGATACTCATCGGAGATCAGGCTGGGGAGGCCAGCAAAGATATTACTGAATTAATATTCTATGGGAGCACGCAGGTGTGTAATTCTTATTTTCATGCAAGGGCAGGTAACCGTTGGCAGGATCGTGTCCAATTTTTTTAAACCACCTTGTTCCTGTCAAGATGGAATGTCTTAGATTACTGCAAGCGATGATTTCAACATGCAAAAGGATGGGCTGTCAGTTGCAACACCAAACCCATCCTCTTGCAGATTTTGACACCCACCCACGCCCCAGCTGGTCTGCAGTTTGTGGAGCAGGTGCACCAAGGAGGGAAGGAGTAATGGATAAGGAAAGATGTTGAGCTCCAATATTCTCTAGTTAGATTTAGGAATGGCACTATCGTTTGTTCAAAAGGACTTCCCAAGGAGAATCACCCTTGACATATCTGGCCAACCCGTATCTTTTCAACATGGCTCATGATTACCCACATCTTTCAAATGCAGAGAACTCCCAACTTCTTTCCAGCTGACCAGTCACCAATAAGGAAACATAAAAAAAATGAGGAACTCAGCCTAGCTTGTCTTCATTCTCAACTCACATTGACTGGGTTTTTGCAAACTGGAATGAGACCCAACTCCCCAATGCACAACAAACCCTTTGAAGTTAAACCAATGATTCCTTTAATTAGAAGTGCCGGCAGCCCAGCAAAAAAGTTTCTCACCACAGGCTAACAAGTTCATCCATTTGGAAGAGGAATAATGGCCTGCCACATCTATTCATCTCTGCCCCCTGCCTTTTATCTCCAGAGCTCGGGTGGAGCTTTGCTAGCAGTGGTTGCTCTTCCGTCCCAAGGACCGGCCCATAGATTTCCACTGCTCTCTCCTCTCCTCTGCCTTCTGTGCATCCACGTGCCAGGCACTGGGCCCAGATGTTCCTCCTCTTCCCCATCAGCCACCTCCAGACCTGGGGGCTGTTGACTCTCCATCTGAGGGCTGATGGATGGCCCAGGTTCCACCTCTCTCTCTCTTCCTCCCTCCCTCCTTCCCTCCCTCCCTCTCTGATAGTTCCAGTCCCTCTTCCCCCTTGGAGCTCCCAGGTTGCCCTGATGCTGATCCTGACTCCCGTGCTACATCCTCCTCCTCTGATTTGGCTGCTGGAGGGGCCGGCAGCTGACATGCCACAACAGAGATAACTTGCCACAGCCAATTTGCTGGAAGATAACTCGCTGTAGCCAACTTGCTGCGGAACAACCAACCATTCACTTGAATTATTTAAAATAATGTTTAAAATATTTTAATTTTTATCATTCACCTTGTCAGCCTTCAAGATCTTCTATTACTGCTTTGCGTCTTTCCTATTGCCTTGCATCTTTTGGCTGCCATAAGTAACGGGGGGGAGGAGGGGGGATCTTGTCTGGGAAGAGAGCTGGAGGTGTTACATTCTTGTGTTGTGTAAATGAGGAGTGGGGGGGGGAGTATAAATTCCTGCTCTTAAGTTTCTATTCCCCGCTTAGCTTTCTTTTCTCTGCGCAGCTGCAAATCTTTATCAAAATATGTCAAGGTCAACGGACAGAGGCCTCATCACCACCTGAAGATGCCCACATGATCATATTCACAACTTTTAATTGGAAGAATCATTTGAACTATGAGGGGTGGGAACGTTTCCAACACTTTGTATATGTGATCTGCGCGCCTAATTTCTCAGATTCAGAATTCTACTGATGTTACCACTTCAAATTCAGTAAAAGTTATCTTTGCTCTAATCTAAAGAGTCTAAGTTTTCTTTCTTGAATTTTGAATGGAGCACCACCCGACATACCTTTCATTTTGAACTTTTGCATCCTTTCCAGGTACCACCTATTCTGCACCTGTGCATTTGCTTTTTCTTGCCTATGTGAAATGACCTTATTTTTTCTCATCATCGAATTGCATTTTTCCCCAGCTTCGTTAGTCGTGAGTTTTGAAATTTGGAATTTGCCATGGTGGATGACTGTGGCTTGAGTGCCCGGTCTGTTTTACCTAAGGCAAGTGTGATAGTGTGTATTTTCTTTGCAATGTGTTAATGAAGTCTGTGTTTTGTGAGTTCCAGCTTCAGACATGGTAGCAGTGATTCCCAAAACATCTTTGAGTTTGCAGATTGAGAGGTGCATCTTTTTGGTTGTGATCATTGTTGGATTTTTGGCGGACAAGACTTTTCCAAGAAGGAAAAGTCCATTCTTTTCAGAAGAATTGGATCTTTACAAAACCCAAAATATAGAATCTTCCCATATCTAAAATCGACAAGACTGGTTATGGTTTTCTCAGGAACCTAACAAAGCTACTCTTTTGTAATTTATATCCTGTGGGATGGCATAAGAAAAAATGTTTTTAAAAGGTCGGGGAGTACACTTTTAAAACCACTGTTTGACATGGTTAAGGAGACTTAAATAACATTATCTCCACTTCAATCCAAAGCAAACATA